GACTCAGCTCTTTTTACAGTTGGATGTTCAATATTTCAATATACGCATGGGCAGTTGAGAAAAGACAGCTAACACAAACATATTTATCGCATAATGAGCTGGAGCAATTGGAGCACAGCTCCAATCTAGTTGCTTGAGCTCAAGAAGCACAAGATGCAAAGATGAGCACCTGCAACGATATCTGCAGATGCAAATAACCTGTTCAGCTTTGGAATAAGAGCTTTGGAATAAGATTCTCTGCAGCTATTCGTGTTGCTGAAGAGCTCTTGCAACAGTAAAGCTGCTCAGAATAGATTCAAGTAGACACAAGCCACAAGCAATTGCTTGTGATGAGATGTTACCTGCAGAAGATGAAATGAGAGATGAGACAAATTATCTCCAGTTACCTGGAGTTACCTGCAGAATATCTTGGAAGAGGCTTATGTTCTGTTGATACACATCTCATCATATTATTGATGTCTTGCATCAAGGAAGCTTGCATCAAGAAAGCATCAACAAAGTATTGTCTTCAGATGATGGGCTGTGTTTTTTTGTTTTTTTGTTTTTTGGTTTTCTTGGTGTTTATGAGCAAAGGCACCAACAAAAACAAGAACAAAAAACACCAGACCCATGGCCCTGAACTAGCAGATGCAGATGATGGGCTGTGTCTTTTTGTGCTTTTATTTTTTGCTGAAAAAACTCAGCCCCCAGGAATCTGAAAAACTCAGCCCCCAGGAATCTGAAAAAACTCAGCCCCCATGACGACCCCTTCTGTATATATACATATTGTTTTTTGTTCTGGGGCAGGAGGTCCCCAATTTACATTTAGTCTTATCCAATTTTTTCTGACACAAGGCCATGGGGCCTATGAGCATGAACCCCTGGACTCTGGTGGGCAACATGACTTATGACTGGAACACCTCAGAGTGTAATGTGGGGCTCGTATGATCATCGCTCAAAGCAAGGGCTTCCTGTTCATATCCAGCGACTCTGTCAGCTGCCAAGAGGCAAAACTCATCACCCAGAGCTTCCAGGCCAGCCACATTAGAGGCAGTTCCCAGAATAGTAGGTGAGACAGAAATGGGAGGGGCGGGCTGCCTGGACAGCTATACCGCGGACCTTGTCGAGAAGAAAAGGCAACGAAATCTTCTGAGTAAGTAACCAGGCAAAGCTATGATGTAAAATAAAACCCGGCAGCGCTCCCTCCCAGTGACGTCTCGCTCGCCAAAACCTGAGCCGCAGGCAACTCCCAGGCAAGCTCCGAGGGGTCCGGGTCCCCCTGCGAGCGCAAGACGCGCGTCTTGCGCTTTGGGTCTTTGGGTCTTTGGGTCTTTGGGTCTTTGGGTGGCTCGTCTTCGGAGTTCCGCCGGTTCAAAGGGAAACCAAAGGGAAGCCCTTGCCATGTCTGGGAGTCCGAATTGGCACGGCACACCCGCTTGAAGGGAAACACGCTCCAAACCAAAACGGCACGAAGAAGAAACGGGAGCCACGTTCCGGGTGCGGGAACCGAACCCCGCGAAATCCCCGCGAACTCAATGACTCAAGTCAACCCCCCGGAAACATGTTGAACCGTTTCCTCGTTTCCTCTTCTGGGCATATGGAGCCCTGGGTTTGTCCTACTCGGGTGTCTTAGGCACCCGTTAAGGGTACGAGCAGGTCGCTGGCCGATCTATGCTTGGGTGGTTTCTGTTTCACCTGAAGCCGTTCGTCCTGAACATGCTCCCCCACCGTCCAAATGAAAAATATTGGAGAACCTTTCCAGCCCTTCTCTCTGATGGATTCCGCCCATTTTCTCCCGGTCTCTCCGATGGATTCCGCCAATTTTTTCCCGGTGCCTGGGTCAAGGCAGCCACAAACAGTTCCAGCAGTGGCTCCTTGACCTTCCTGGGCATCGCGTGTCTGCAGAAGATTCGACATCTCACATAGGCCACTGAAATCTGAGATGTCCTTTTTGTTACCCTTAAACTTTAAAACCAAGGACGCCACATCTTGCCTGATCCAGGTTGCTGCTGGTCACCCGGCCTTATCCGCGCCAGTTCGGCAGCCTTCCCTCGCTTTGGAGCTTTGGCTGCCTCAGGCACAGCTTGAGCCAACTCTTGCCCCCGAGTTCCACATTTGAGGGGAACCGCAAAAAGGGACGGTTTCTAAGTGGTGTCCTTGCAACACAATTGCAGCGTAATTGCGTACCCAAAAAGAAGACACATCCAGTCATATCCAGTTACTGTATGCTTCAGAATGCCTGTGTTGTGATCTTCGAAGCCCCGTTCCACATGCCCAACATTTTGGGGGTCCCTTAATTCAGGGACACCAAATCGGGGACCGTTCCCTTTTGAAAAAGCATGGAACAAGTAGCCTGCAGAAGCCATGCTCAAGATCAGCCCCTAACTACCTTTAGGGAAGCTGTGGGAAGGGTCTCCAGTTTGGGGGACCTTGTTCTCAAATGGGAATAGATATGTATACATGACACACAGACACATCTATATAGCAGTAACAATGCACTCCTTTCTTCGAGGTGCGTACGAGAGGGACATATTTTGGGCCAATGCCCACTCATGCAAACGTGTAAACGACGTCCACAAAAGGGTTCCAAATTAAGCACCACAATCCTGGTCAACCGAAATGGATGAGGCCATTTTGTTTTTAGGCATCATAATATCCACCTGAGTTTCAACAACTCTCGCTCTCACTCTCTCTCTCTCTCTCTCGCTCTCTCTCTCTTTCTCCCTCTCTTCCTTTTTTGGTCTCCGTTGAATTCTCTCTCCCCATGCGCAAACCCTTCGCATGGGAATTGGGGCAGTGGGGTGGAATATATTGGCCTTACGTGCGGCCAGGAGACTATATCCTTCGACACAATCATGACTTCCTTTTTATTCAGGGCCATTTGAATCCGACCACTTGAACTCATTCTATCACACAAATAGTCTGAACAAATCCCCAGACCTTCAACCAATGAGGAGACTTGGTCGTGGTTCCTGTAGACTAAAAGCACTGACATCTGCGTTGCTTGTAACTAAAGGAAAGCGATCATGAAACCGATACCTTTGGAGACACCCAACTGCACCATACTCAAAAACCTACTGACGGGCTGTGCCCAAAACCATGCAAGTCAACAACAAACGGCCGCAACTGTTCATGGTCGGGACTGTCCGTTGGTACACAGCATAACGCTCAGATGTTTCGTTACCTCAAAACACCGGGATTTTATACAAACCCAATGCAGTGAGTGGGTTTTGTATTAAATAAAAAAACACTCGGACTATAAAACATTAACGGGACTTTACACAAACTTAATGCAGTGTTTGGGTTTCATATAAAAACTTGACTCGGATTATGTGTATATATATATATATGTGGCCATGGGTCATGCACCTATCCCAAAATGGTACCATTGGTTTTGAACCATGCCATATGGTTTGCCGGAGACCCCTGACCCCTTCGGGGCTCGCGCGGGCCGCCGGGGCATCCGTGCGGCAGCCGACAGCTGAGGTGCCGCTTTGGGTCCAGAAACATCAAAGGGGCCCACGAAAAGACATGGCCATTTGAGGGTATCTCAAAGGGACCCCCAAAATGGGAAACAGGTGTCCCTTCCTTTGCTTTCTCAATACAACCTCTTTTCAAAGCAACCTCTAAAAGTGGTACCTTAAGCAAAGACACGTGCATTTCTGTCAATGTCTGTTGCCCTAGATCGGTTAGCTTTTGAAATGAAAGAGATGCCTCAAGAAATCAACTTCAAGCTGTTCATGTCCAGCTCTACCACAATGCATGTTTGGTTCAGCTCAGACCGCACACTGCAATTGAGCCGAGTGTCTCGACAGGCAGTAGGAGGGGATGGGTAGGTTTCTTCTCATCGAATTTAAGGTTGCCTGACGGCTCGGGAAAAAAGAGGGGAAACACTTACCACCCCTGTTGTTCTAGTGAAGAGGGGCAACGGGCTTTGAGTCACTTTGCGAAAGGGAGCTAACGGGAAACGGTAGAAGGGGTGGGCTCCACTTGGAAATTGCGCCCATTAATTTGGGGCAATAAGTACTTTTACGTCGAAAGTTGGCTTTGTTTCCTTAAGTTTCCCAGGACCAAACGTCTACCCTTGTGCCGGGTCTTTGGAGCACTGATGAAGACCACCAGACGCATGGCGGCGCACCCAGTTTTCATGTTCGTGACGCAAACGAGAAATGATTTCTGCCAAGCGCGGATCTGCCCACCTCATAAGGCTCAGCCCCCCCTCCCAATTGATAGGTTTCATCTCGGTTTCCACCCCAATATTCTTCGGAATGCATGTAGGTTACATCCGCTCGGCATCCCTAGCCTGAAGTGCAAGACTGTACAGTCGCTCGGACATGCGCAGCGCTGTCAGCTGCTTCCAATCTCGCAGTTAAGCACCCCACGCAAGTGTCTTCTGTTTGCGTCTGATCTTGTGCATTTAAAAAAATATCGCAAACCGGGCCGCATCTGCCACTCCTTGCGCTGCATGCTATTATGGGTATGTCCCGAAAGAAGAACCCCTCGCCCCCCCCCCCCCCCGAGCCAAAAAGAAGGCACCCCTTGTAGATTCCCCCTTGCGACAAACTAACTCGTGTTGTACCAATACGCGCGCAAACTACTATCTCTGGGCTGCGCTGAGTTGAACAAAGTTTAAAAGCGACCCCTGGCCCCTCAACTAAGTAGCTCAAGTCTCAAGAATTTGCCGAACATTGTGGCTCGAGGTTGAAGCTGGAAACAAGCCGACGGTCGCTGAAGGCCGTCTAATCGATGGATCTGCAGCCGATTTCGTCTGCAGGGTTCTTCGGGCTCTGAAAATTCATTGACCGCTGCCTGTCGTTGGCGCATCTACATACAAAGGTACACACTGAGACCAAGTCGAAAACAAACACCAACTATTTTCCCGCAGAATCGTCCTGAACATCACAACGAATCCATGTCCGCAACAAGAGGCTGGATGTGTTTCTAGCCGCCTGGCTAAACCCACTCCGTCCTTCTGTGCGGAGCCCGGGCTTCACCACACGGGGCTCAGGGCGTCCATCAGCTCAGTTCTCTGACGCCTTCTCTGCCTGACGGAGTACTGTGGTTGGAAGTAGCTCACATGCACGCGGAACCAGAAAAATACGACCCCTGGACAAAACCAGATGCCCTCAAACTCAGGAACACTTTTGCCACCAACATGACACCAACCATCTGGAAAGGTCTCTAGCTTTGACACTCAGCTGGTTAAACATCCAGCGGCTGTCAGAAAACGCTGTCACTACTATCCCTCTGAAACCTTCAAAAACAACGTTTCATATTGATGCCGGATCTACATGCATTTGGCGGATCAAAAGGGGGCGGGGTTGCCCCAAAAGTGTCTTGGATTGGTAGCCCTCTCATTGTGGTCCTAGCTTTTGAGTAATTTTGGTCCTAGGTCAAATTCGGGCCGTTTTGGGGCGTTTTCAGCCTGCCCCCTCTCATTTTGGTAGCTTACGAATCATGTTGGTCCTCCGGCCAAATCATTTTGGTCCCAGGCAAACTAAACTCGACTCAACTCGACTTGACTCAACTTGACTCAACTCAACTTTGTGACCGCCAACGGGAAATGAGCCTCATAAGCAGGTGTAACATGTGTACCCAAAACCATGTGACCAAAGAACAACAATTATCAGTTCCCCATTGTTCCCTGCGCACTCTTGCGGGAGACTTGGGTGGCTCCATGTACCAATAATAATGTCAGTTGCGAATCCAAAGGAACGCCATGGTTGGGACTGCTCCCAACCTACTCTTAGGCCCGGTGTCCAGTCGGATCTCAGCGATGAAGCCACTGGAATCCATGTTTCACAAAGGACGCCCCACGGGTTTTTGGGGGCCATGGCCAGCGCAAATGAAAAAAAAGCTCCGCAGAAATTCCCCCCATAGCCACGTGCAGACTAGCGACCCTCAATCTCCGTTGGCAGGGTCCCTAAAAATACAATTTCAAACTACCCTGAACTAATGGCCTTCTTCGAGAAAACAAAAGAAAAAGAGGAAAAAGAAGAAAAAACAAAGAGGTATCCTTGTTGCTTTTCCCCCTCTGCATCCAAAGGACACTCACCTTCGGCCCGAGGTGATGCCCCACCCACACCCCGCGCCTCGAGGGCCGCTGCCTCTTTCCTGAGCGCCGCTGAGCTGGAACGCACGATGGAAGCCAACAAATCCCCAACGCTCCATATATAGAGAACAGCCACATGTACCCTTTCACATGCTGGTGTACATACATATATATATATATATATATATATATATATATTATTATACTATATATTTATCTATGTTATGTATATATATATGTTATGTATATTATACGAGATTGCATGGGAATGAGCTTCTGTTGAAAAAGCGCCGGCCGGGGTACGGAGGTTCAGAGATCTAACATGACCGAGCCTCAAAAGACACCCCGGTGTTTGCCCCTGAAAGACTGTGTAGCTATTGGTACAAAACACAGGTACAGCCACCCTGAAAAGTCTCTTGATTGCAGGGATCACTACTATCAACTCCGAATTCATCCAGAGGATCATGCTCATCAAGGATGGCTCCCTGCTTAGTGGTTCGAAATAATGAATTTCAGGGCTATTTTTTTGACTAGTCGTGTCCTCGTAAAAACGCACATTCAAAAGAGTGGGCACATTCACAAATTACTTTAATTCACAACTGGAATTCCTTTTGGACTCTCCCGGACTTTATGGGCCTGACCGTTTTACCCCCAAGTTAAAGATCATGTTTAATAACCCACCTGAAGGACTCCCTGAGTCGCACAGGGGCGTGGTCTTTCTTGAGAGTACTCCTGTTTGCCTACTTTTCAAGGCAACCCAAAGGAAACTTCCTTTTCAGACAAACGGAGACCCTTGCCACAGCCACGCCTGAGCGAGAGACTTAGTGCCTGACTGTCTGGCTCGCTCTCGATACATCTCCACAGCAACGAGCACCACCAGCGTTGCGCACACAATCTCGGTGAAGCGAATCATTGGCGGTCCGGTAAAAAAGGGTATTGGCATGTCCTTTTGAGGGTACTGAATAGTTGCGAACTCATGGCGAATGGGACGGCCCCTGAGGGGAACCTCAAATTTGTGTCTCACTGTTTGAGTTGCCTGGAAGCTAAGCGCAAAATGAGTACCCTTAAAAAGAAGACACAGGTTAAAATCATGCCGCAAATAAAATGTCGCACAGGCAATGTACCAAGGCCAGCTTGTGCAACATTGGGCAAGGCCGTACTACTTAGCACCCAATATATCCTTTGATTATCGTCCAGCTGGCTGAAACCGCCCATCTCACGCGCTTTCGTTGGAGGCCCCAACCTCTATGCACTGCCCATTGCTTCAGGGTTGGGCGATTCAACCGCTTGACTAATTAAGCAGGTCTGAACCACTTCTTGCTAAAGCTCCTCTTGGAGGCATTTAGACAACTTTGCTGAGCCCTAACTCGCGATTTGAGAGCTTGCCTCGCAGGGACCAGGCCATCAACACCACCCAACCCTCCGAATCCAGAACAGGGGGCTGCCGCTGGAGCCGCGATGAAGACCATGAGGGCGAACTGCGTTTCCATGGACCTGTCTTTGGCTAAAAGGGATGATTGCCTTTGAGACATACCATCGGCCCAACAACTCTCGCAGCACTCCAGCGCGTTGCACGGCTAACGTCCCATTGCCTCATGGCCATATGCTTGGCTACTGCATGGCTCAGCGCCCACCTGGACCAGTGGGAGTCGTTGGCCAGCAAGCACGTCGTGAAGCCCGTAATCAGCACTGCGCAGCCCAGCAAACCCAACTCCAGGCGGTTCCAGTCGTCCTCCTGGCTCGCTCGGAAACTGAGGTCGCCGCTTCGGTTCGCCCAGCAGGTCGAGAAGCCGGGCAGGTCGATCTTTCGCAAATGCGTAACAAATACAAACCCCTAAGTGCGGTTCAGTCCCACGAAATATCATCATGCAAGTGAACCGGCATACAGCTCACACCCGAACAAGTTGAGGCAAAGTCCAGTGGTTTTATTCGTGTTCGCGGCTTGAGAAGAACCGCGAAACCAAAGGGGGCCGATACCGCCCAAGAATTGGGCTGGGAAATTGATGGGCCCACCCAAAATTCCATCAAACATAGTTCCCGAGGCCACACGAATCCCCGCATGGGGCCCCAAAATGATGGAGCTTTCGGTTTTATTGGGACCATGCCCAAACAAGGTGTAGCCTCAAAACACTGCGTGTTCTGCTGAGGGCAACAGCTCGCCGGGCCTTGTACGGCAATCTGTATTGGTAGAGCATCATCGATCCCAGCAGGATGGCACTGATGAACTGCATCTGCAGAGCCTTCAAACGGGCGCAGCACTCGACCCTCAAACCACCCTGGAAATGAGAGAGAGAGAGAGAGAGTGCTCCAAAGTCATGAGCGACTTCCCCTGTTCAAGCTTCGAGCTTGCAAACTGGGGAGCCCTTATACCGCAATTACCTGATTGACGCCCTGTCCCTTTGCTGACAACCGCGGGGCAAAGCAACACCTGCAACCAGGGGCAAGGGCTAAAAGCAAGCTTTCGCTCCGAGGAGACTTGTTCCAGACTCAACCGCTCTCCACGACACCTGCAACAGCCCCCCGCGATTAATCTTGGAAAAACACATGCGCCACTCCATTCAATGCCGCCAAGGCCACGGGAGACAGGGTCACAGGCAGCACTGTGCTCGCCAAAGTCAGCATCATCTTTCGCACTAAGCGTTCCACCTGGCGAAGTGCTTTGCTTTCTGGACAAAGGCTGTGTCACCTCTGTTCGGTTTGGCATACAAATGGCGTGCCAATCCCCGATGGTGGCAAACAACAATGACCGTCAGAGTGCTACTGCTAGGGGCGCCCAACTGGAGTTCCGCAAACAAGAGGGATCCTCAAAGAATGATCATGAAGGGCCGTCTTGGCGCCTTTCGCCCCTTTGGGAATGATATTCTGTTTGCGTCCAGCTCATGCTCACAAACTTCCCAAGTTGGAGTCATTCAGGTTTTCCATGTGCCGCGTCTTCAGTCCAAATACGGTGCCTCGGTTTCCATCCAAAACACGTCTCCGACGTCATCTAAACCAATCTAAACCCATGGCTTTTGTATGCTTGATGGTTTTCATTTCGAGAGTCCGCAGGGTGCTTCAAGGACACCTTTTCTTGTTCGTGGTCGAATGTGTGTTTGCCTTTGTCCCCAAGAATATTTGCGCAACGCCGCTTGCATCCTCCAGTCATAGAAATGACTCCACGTTCCATTACAGAAAGGCCACCTCAGGCGCTGGTTTTTCCTGTTATGGAATTCGTACTATGTGATACGCAGCTATCTTATTTCAGGCCCCCCAGACTCGGTCCAGGATGACTGGCACCCGTAGATAGGCCAGAGTTTGGGTCGCCTTTAGTTGTTTGGTTCCCCTACAAGTCCCTGGCCCTTACTTGCAACTTTCAAGGATGTCCTGTCTGCTCGCACAGCTTCGTTGAAGTTACATGTGACTGAGCTTTGATTTGAATTTATATAATGAATCACTGCATGTATACACCGTGCAACGCATTGTAAAGCCTCGTGCGCTTGTTTAGTGTTTGCTGCTTAAGCATTTGCGTGAACAGCACGTGGGAAGCCTCTTGCGCAATTGTTTTGTTGCAGGGTTTGAGGCGGTTGCTAAAAGCAGCGCTAGCTAAAATGATATCTGCCACTAGCAACAACATTGATTGCTGCCTTGCGTCACCTACAATGAAGGAGCACATGTAGCAACAAGGGGCCTACAGCTCTAAAACGTCAAGAGGTTCTACGCATCTTGGTCGTGGGCCCCTTTGAGTGTAGCATTGCGCGTCGTATTCTCCTAGGGTAGAGTCGGATGGAATATGTGTCTCTGCCCGCGGCTTTGGAATACAACTACATTTAGGCCAGTGTGCTGGGTTGCTTCAACCGTATAGCTTCGTGTAGGGAGCTTAACTAGTACCAGAAATAGATACCTCACTTCGTCAGTACAACCTTTTTCCATCACAAACAGGCAATGTCTATGTTCCATCGCTTCTTGGCCGAACATAAGTTGTTGTTTTTTTGCGGTTGGCCACAAGATATCTACTTAGCAGCAATTGTTTTGGTGACCTATGGAGGGCAAGTAGAATAATGCATTATCTTACCCCCTACCATGCCAACCCTACCATGCCAACTATTGCACGCCACCAGTAAGCATGGAGCTAGAGAACCTATCCCTGACGATGCAGAAATGAATGTTGCCCACTTGCTGGTGGTCTGCGCCGCTCTGCACTCCCACTTCCTGGTTTGCAAGCAAGTCAACATATCGAGGTGGAGAACTATCTTCAACCCTCTACCTCATCAGCAGCTTGGCAGCCAAGGGTTCTGGGCACCACCACAACTTGCAGAGACCAACATTCCACTTCTTGTGAGCTACAGGCACAAGGTGGAAAATCCAGCAAATGTTTCTGATGATCCAGAAACAGTGGAGTCATTTAAGCTAAAGATGATGGTGGTAGAAGTTCTCACTTCCACATGATCGGGGGCTTCTATCAAGATCTGTCAACCAGAAGGGCCGAGCCGCTCATCCAGCTACTCATGAACTGGTGAACTTGGCTGACAGGAGTACTCTCTCTCCGCATGAACTGCTGGCAGTCAAATTTGGGAAAGGCAAGCAAGCCCGCAATCCATTTGACGCCATTTGACAAGCTGCGGTTAAAAGTTTGGGCATTACTGACAATATTCAGCTCTTGACGGCCAACGCAAATTTACCATTTTAATGGCGGTTATCTTTTGCCTGGAAGAGTTCTTGGAGTCAGCCCGTAGAATTTGTTTGCTACCTCGATGTCAACTGGAGTAACACCCGAAAGTTAGCGGAGAAGTTGGCAGGCGAAGTAGCGCTCGAAAAGTTGACAGGAGAAGCTAGCAGTGAAGTAGCGCCCAAAAAGTTCGCAGCGGAAATTTGCAGGTCTCTCGACTAGTTGGCAGGTCA